GGAGAAATTGGTTTATTAATTATTATGGTTAATAATTAATTAGAAACTAATTGGAAATATATTTTGGGAATTAATTAATAGTTTAATTAATCAAAGGGTTGAATATTCATTAATCGATAGTTGGTTAATCAGGAATGTTCCAAAACCTTTATGGAATTAAGGTTGGACGAAAATCACTCCATCCTACATGGGAAAAGGAGTGAATTTCGTGGTTACCTCCTCACCCCACATGGGAAGGAGTACAAAACCTAGAAATGCATCCAAGGCTATAAATAGGGCCTTAAGGATTTCATTCTTCCTTGCACCTTGGCTTGAAGTTTCGCAAACCCTTCTTCCTCCTCCCATAGGGACGATTTCTAACCCTCTTAGGGTTTGTGAAATTGACCCTTCTACTAGTTATTGTTTTTCCATTCTTTGGTGTCATTGGGTCTGATACAATTAGAGGGATTCTGGTTTGGGTTCTCTCATACAAGCAACTTCGTGGAGGACGATATCTAAAGCATGGAGATCAATGGCTACATAAGAGGTATGTTTTTCTTCTTTATGTTTTTATGTTTCATAGGGTTGATGTAATTAGTATGAAACCATAGATCCTAGGATGCATGTACACTTAGGTATATTGTAGTTTCGATTTTTTCGCTACCTAGTTTAGAGTGTATTTGATGCTTAGAAAACCCAACACACTCCTGTAGCATGAATTTCCACTAGAATGTTATTGAATGCCTTAGATTCAATACATAACCTTGTTATCCATAAAATGGATGTCAAGACTATATTCTTTAATGTAGATCACGATGAAGAAGTTTACAAGGTTCAAACTGAAGGGTTTGTCATGCATGGACAAGAGCGTAAGCTTTATAAACTTGTAAAATCACTTTATAGGCTGAAACAAGCTCCAAAGGATTGGCGTAAAAAATATGATAAAGTGATTTTGTCTTTTGGTTTTGTGTTGAATCATAATTACAAGTGTGTGTCAGTGAGTTTGACACTAATAGACAAGGTGTCCTCATATGCCTTTATGTTGAAGACATGTTGATTTTTGGAACATACCAAAATCATGTAGATGAGGTGAAGACCTTTCTCTCATATAAGTTTTCTATGAAGGATATGGGGGAGGCAGATGTGATTCTTGATATTAGAATCTAAAGGTTGAACAAAGGATTATCCTTGACTTAATCTCATTTATTGAGAAAATCTTGAAAATATTCAATTTTAGTAAATGTTCGCCTGTTACTACTCCTATGGATCCTCAGGTTAAACTTATGTCGAATGGTGGGAAACCAATTTCACAATTGGAGTATTCGAAGGTCATAGGATTCTTGATGTATGCCATGACAAGCACAAGACCTAACATTGCTTTTCCTGTTGGGAAGTTGAGGCAGATACACTGGTAATCGTAGTGCTCAACATTGGCAAGCAATACACTAGTAATCCTAGTTCTCAAGGGTACTATGAATCATATCTTGAGATATTTGGGATATCCTTCCGTCTTAAAAGGCTATTCAGATGGAAGTTGGATTTCCAACTTGGAAGATCACTCTTCAACTACTGGTTGGGGTTTCCTCTTAGGTGGAGGTGCAGTTTCTTGGGGATCAAAGAAACAGTTATGCATGACAAATTCAACCATGCAATTCGAATTTGTAGCTTTACCTGCTGCTGGCAAGGAAGTCGAGCGGTTAAGAAACTTGATGTTTGAAATACCACTGATTCCTAAACCTACTGCTCATATATCAATTAGGTGTGATAGTGCTGAAACTTTAGCTAAGGCTTATAGCTAAATCTATAATGGAAAGTATAGACACTTGGGTGTTAGACATAGCATGATTAGGAATTTAATCATGGATGGAATCATTTCAATTAAGTTTGTGAGAACTCATAAAAACTTGGCGGATCACCTTACTAAAGGGTTGGCCAGAGACCTCGTGCACAAGTCTGGAATAGGGATAGGATTAAAGTCCATTTAATGTAAAATGATGAGACACCCAATTCCCCTCGAATGAGTCATTCGGGGCTAAATTTAATGTGGTTTGATCATTGTTATTAGATTGGAATAAATTGTATGAAATCATCCCAAGGTATGTGTTCAGTTGTACAAGTAGCCAGGTTGAAGTTTTTCTTGTTACTAACTCCTTTGAGAAAATGTATGTGTAGGTACATGATATAAAGGAGTTACCTATGTGATTGTGAAGTGTAGCCGTGCTTCAAAAAGTTTGCGTACTTGACCTTTGATACGAGCATGGGAGGATTAGGACATACAACTTACAATGGTGTCAAAGTTTTACTTCTAGAGTAGGAAAACACGTATGTGGTTTAGAGTCAGGTAGTCAAAATGGGTTGAAGGGTTCAATTCTTAAGAACACCTCGATTCTCGGTTATTTGATATATAAATTACTAAAAGAGAATTCAATCATTTTGAAATTTTCATTATGTGCATGCTTTTGGTTTGTTTAACAAATTAAAATATAAACTCAGGGTAACTCTAAAATGGGGGATGATTGTTTGTGATTTTAGAGTCACCATGTTCGGGTGGCTCTAATGAATTCACCTGCTTCATTTTGAGTTATGGAGATTATATTGTGCTGCTGATATTCCAAATCATGGTTATAATGCAAGAAAGGAGGTGGGGAGTACAAACTTGCGCAAACCTAGACTAGAATATGTATATAAAAGGTTTAAGGAAAATTAAGCATGAATAAACTTGGTAAATATGTAATCAATTAAGTTAAATACTTGAAATTGATGAAATCATGTATAGATAAAGTTATTAATGCATCCTTAAATATCTTAGCCATTGTGATGAACTCAAAATAAATTAATACTTTGGGGTTACACTTATTAATGGAATGTAACTAACATCTTGGGGGTTACAACTTTGGTGTTAATGAACTCTTTAATAGTGTAGGTTATAACTTTGGTGTTAATGAGCTCCTTAATGTTGTAGGTTACTCCTTTGGTATTCATGAGCTCCTTAATGGTGTAAGTGACAACTTTGGAGTTAATGAGCTCCATAAGATCACCTTGTAAGCTACATCTTCTACTTAGTATAAATGGAAAGGAGGTATTCATTTTCAAGTAGATGAAAAACTTGATTTATTGGCACTTTCACTTAAACAAACGAATTATGTAGAAGTTGCTAACACTATTTTGGTGCCTCAATATTGTGTTGCCTCGGGTAGATTATCCTTGTTGGTAATTTGGGTTACCCAGGAATAGGGCGAAGATTACTTAGCAAATAAAGTGATCACATGATCTGTTCGAACTAATCTGGTGCTCACCGTCTTTACCCCATTCACCCATATTCCCCCAACAATTTGTGTAGTCATCTCTAACATGATATATGTACACTTTTTGACAATATTTAAAATGAAAATTGTGAATGTATGGTCCATTAGCATGGCCCAGCCGTCAAGACTTGATGTGCTAGCCTTGCATGGCGCTCTCCTGGTGCTCGCCTGTCAACCTTGTCTAGCGCTCGCCTGGAGCCCGATCACTCGTACCCAGCTCCTTGCTAGATAGTCCTAAGTTGGGCTGACCCAAGGCCTGACCTAATTCTTCCTTGACCTAATTGTCTCATATAAATAGATTGATTCCTCCTCTATGATGATGCAACTCTTAACAAGCTTCTAGGCACCTTCTCTAACCTAGAGCTTCCATGGCCAAACTCTCACCCAACACATCAAGATGGTTCTCTCCATCTAGGGAGAACCATATCTTCTCTACTAACCGATCTAAGTTGATTATTGGAGCTTGCTCCTGAGACACATTTCTTGGGGAAACTCTTAACGACTTTTTTATGATGGAAGCTTAGGCATCTCATTGGAAACTTGATGATGACACCACCTCCAGATCTCCGATCCAGATCCAACACAGAAGACCCAACAGCCTGAGTACATGTCACAACATTTGGCACCATCTGTGGGACCAAGAACGAATAGCTATCATCTCTTGGTCTCAACCTCATTTTCGCCACTGATATGTTCAGATCTGTTTTTCTTCACCTTATATTTGCTCAGATATGTTCATTTCAACCATTATTTTTTCACATCCGTTTAGCTATCGCCAAGATCTGTTCAGATATGCTTCCCAAACGTTCAGATCTCTAGATCTACTTCGTCAGCCTAAGCACATGTCATAACATTTGGCACCATCTGTGGGACCAAGAACGAATAGTTATCGTCTCTTGGTCTCAACCTCATTTTCGCCACCGATCTATTCAGATCTGTTTTTCTTTGTCTCAGATTTGCTCAGATATGTTCATTTCAACAATTATTTTTTCATATCCGTTTGGGTCTCGCCAAGATCTGTTCAGATATGCTTTCTAGACGTTCAGATCTTTAGATATGCTTCATTTTTTTCCATCAAATCTCTAGATCTGCTCCATTTCTTTCTCATTCAAAAATTTTCCAAGCTTTCAAAGATCTTCTCAGATCTATTTTCGTTTATGCTTTGGCGGCTTGTTCACCAAATTGGGAAGAAAATAAGTTTCTATGAGGTTTTACCCATTCTTTGTTCATATTTTAGTGTTTCATCCAACAACTTGAAAAGAACAGAAGTTTTCATAAGTTGTTACACCATTTCTAGTTTATATGACCAACATAATCCATTCGTAGCTCATCAGAACATTTATCATACATAAGAAAAGCCTCTCATATCAATTTTCGTTCATATTTTGGTGATTTATTTAGAAAAGTGGGAAGAACAAAGGAAGTTTTATGAGTTCTTAAACTCTTATCAGCTCATATCATAAGTAAATTCCTTTTAGTTAGTAGTTTATTATGTAAAACCTCATTATTTGAACTATTGCTTGTACACACAGCTGCAAAGCTTATACATATCATAAAACTTAGCAAAAACCCAAGGAACCATGTTCATATTTACCACTTTCACAAAAATAGATCTTATTTATCAAAAAGAAATAGATCTTGAAAATGACAGCTCATAAGTTGTACCAATCTTATTAAAAATACAAGAAAAATGCATTTGTTTATCTCATTTCAATAGAAAAAAGAAAAAAATTTGTGTATTCTATCAGCAAGATACATGAGGTATTTTTGAAGACCATTCAAAAATTTACCCTACCTATTTACATTTTACTTCTTCGTAAAAAAAAGAATAGAAAATGGTCTGTGTTTCCTAGTAAAAACCTCAAAAATAACAGCTTACAGCTCAATATGTACAAATGATACATAAAAATATAAAAGGGATTATCCTTTTCCTCTTATCATCTAACACAAAAGAAACAGCTAGACCATCAAAGAATGTGGGTCCATACATCTCAACAACGCACTAGAATAGCTACACCAGCGAAATGCTGCTCTGATCCACCTCTTCACACATCGCCGCCGACGATACGACCCAACCATCACAAGTCGCCAGCAGCCTCCATATCAGGTGTAGCATCTCACCACTGTTCGTCTGCAAACTCAGAAGAAGCATTGACGGCGACAAGTATCGCCCTTGTTTCTTCCTTACCCATCGATGCTGCCGACATAATCCAAATCATCAACGGCCTACCATCTCCACTCATCGGTCACCGTCTGTAACTCCCTCAACATGACGATCCCCGGCGACAGCAGTTTTAATACCCGTCGCCACCAACATTGGGAACCAAAAGGAAACACCGATCATCACATGTTGTTCCATTACTCCTCTCAAATGACGACCCTCTGGAAGCTGAAGCTTCAACATCGGAAAACTGTATGAGCATCAGACTACTCTCAGTCGGCGGTTTCCAATAACCCGACTTCCTTCAACAGGTGATGCAATCGATGAGCATCGTCGACGAAATGCTTCTCCAATCAGGGGCGGAGCTTGAACATATAACTTTGGGGGAGAAAGTATTAGAAACTAAAATTAAGGATTTTACAAATAAACAAGCCTTATTTCAGCAATTAAATACCAAAATACCTAAAATTACAATGATTGTATCTATAAAAATCAAAATGGAGGAAAAATTCATTCAAAATCAACCCTCTAACTTAAATCAAATTTAGGGCAATAAAAATCAAATATTAGATAAATAGAAGCAATGCTCATCACTCATCACTCATTAGCTCAATTTAGACAAAACATTAGAAAATTTTTGCAAAAGAGAACATTTAACAGTGTGTGAAATTCTAATTAGTTGATTCCCAAATTCCAACAACAAGCAAATGGAGGAATAATTCATATTACTCATCAATTAGTTCTTTGTAGACAAACATTAGCAATTTTCTGCAAAAATCCATTTAAATGTGTGTGAAATCATAATTAGTTGTATACCATATCCCAATGACAAGCAAAATAGCGAACGGAGGAAACAAATTCAATACTCAAGTTTTAATACTAAATAGATTGGCTGCTAATTTCCAGCAGAATTGGAAAAGAGAGAATACATAACAACCGAACAGGAGATCACTCAGGAGCATACCTAATTTTCTTCAGTTCTGTGAACAAGAAAGAGTAGCGGAAGTGCATAACAACTCAAAAGCAGGTGGACGGTGGTGACTGTCGGCTCTGCGATGGATAGTGGTGACGGGCTGGCGACCGACACTCCAATGTCGTATGAAGTTTTTTAACAATACAACCCATCGTGGGGTCCCATGTACACTTTGATTTTCTCTGAAGCAGAACCAAATCAGTTTATTTTTTTTTGTTAGTGTGGTGTCCTTAATCGACATCTTGAAGAGCTAAACAAATCATAAACTAGAGTACTAGACAGCTAAGTCAAAAACAGAAACTAACTCAGGATATGATAATTGAGATTTCAGATTTGTAAATTCTAATTTCTAATTCTACTATTCTAATTTCAAGAATAGATGAATCCAAGAGATTGAGAGAACGAGAGAACAGGAGAAGAACAGGAGCATTATATACCTGATTTTCGGTGACTGTTATTGCGGTGGTGAATGGCAACGGCCAGCGACTGAGTAAGGTAAGGAGGTAGCGACTAGTGACGATGGTGGAGGAACTGGGTAACATGGTAAGATACGAAAAGATTTTGACTTCTTGTCGCTAGGTTTGGAAATCGGACTGAAATTAGGAGGGGCTACAGCCCAATTTCTACACTAACAGGCCTATAATTAAAAATTTTGAAGATATATTTACTATTTCTAACCCAAATATCAGGGGGGCCAAAGCCCCTCCTGACCCTATATATAATCCGCCCATGTCTCCGATACTCCTCAACCAACGATGAACTCTGGCGAGTAGCCACTAGGAGCTCCGATGGTCGGACACTATTTTTTTGACATCCGTGACAGGTTTTCAGAAGGAGACGGCCGCAACATTTTTCAGCCAATGGATGCCTAACCCTAATATAACCAAAAATAGAATTGGGCCAAATTAGCACACGGGCTTCCATCTCCTCCTTGGGTCTATAATTCGAAAACAGACTACCATTTCTTATCCTGGACTTTAGCCATGACTAGATGAGCTGCATCAAATATGTTTTGGTCTCCCTGTATTTTATCTTGGGCTTCTCCAAATGGACTAAGCATTTCCATTTTGGGCTCAAACAATTTCTTGGGCTACCATTTAATCAGATTTTTAATGGGCTAGCTCAACAAAAAAAATGACATATTGCAAGATAAGAGTCAGCCGCTTAGTGCTCAAATTTCGTAGCTCTGCCCAACAAAATATGTTTTTAGGATGCGTATTGCGGTCCGGACTCGCCCTTCATTCTTAAAAAAAAGGAAGTTGGGTTGATAATGTTGTTGACATTTCAACCTTGGATTCCCCTAAGTGGGCCAAGCAATTCCATTTTGGGCTCAACAGCTTTCGGGCTCTAACAGTTTTTGTGGGCTTCCATTAACTCAAAATTTTAATGGGTTAGCTCAACAATGTTAAAATGGGCCAGCTCATGTTAAAATGGGCCAAAATATTATTGTGATAGAAAGGATTAGATTGAAAACCGACATCATACACACATCGACCTACTTTAGATATCAAGATAGCAGCCGTGCTACTTACAACCCCTCGGCATCTCTGTTTCTTGGCTCTTGGCAATAGTCATGCTATCGATTATCATGAAAACAACCTTTTTGTATATTCTTATAGCAACCTTATCATATTTACCATACTCTAATATGCCACGAAGACCACGTTGCATATTCATATAGCATCCTCGCTCTATATATTACCATCGAAACAATTGTTGACGCCAGGTCCATTAGCATGGCCTAGACACCTCTGGCGTACGAGAAGGATAGTAGGGATGCTCCAAAATAATGCTTGCCACCTGGAAGCACAATATGGGAGGCCCATATCCGAAACTTGGAATGCGCACAATCAGCGCCATTTTACTCCTAGAGCAAGGAGAAAAGACAGAAAAAGACACACCAAGGGTTATTCAAGCTTGTTCCGAGCCAATTTTCGGGTCAAAGATTATTCAAGCTTGATATCCTTTCAATAAGAGCTTGTGAACATTTACCAAGTGACAAGAAGGACTGATCATCCGCGTCACTTGAGCGAAATTGATGGAGGAATGCAACCAATAGGTGTCAACGACTCATAACCTTTCCCTAAACATGTAAGTATAATCCAAAGGACTATTACCTATGCACATGACATGAACAAATGCTTTAAAGGCTCGTAACCTTTCCCCTTGTTATAAAAATACCGATGTCCTAAACGCCACGGGGTGACGATCTTGGCTTAACTTATGACTAGGCCCAGGACTTAGAACAAAGTATCAAAAGGGTAATCAGTAAACTCTAGCTAAAAAGAGTACCCTAGCAAAATGGACTAGTTAAGGTTCATAATAAGGGACCAGCCAAGGTCTCGGCTTAAAAGCATAGGCCAAGGACTCGAAGGAAAGATGAGCCCCGAGCCCACGAGTACGCACTCCTAGGACAAAGCCAAAGAACTTTGGTTGAGTACAAATAAACTCCCACTTACCAAAAAAGAGAGAATTTATAACATCCCGAGATTTGCACGTATTTCCGAATCCTCTCTTTTATTATTATTCTGTCATTTGTAGTCCCTGGGGTTGAAAGAGTTGAGCAATGAGAAGCCTAAGGGCTAAAGTTGCAACTTTGAGAACAAGACGAGTACGCTAAGTGTACTAGGCGTACTCACGATAGATGGACACCCTAATATTTAGGGTTTAGGTGTTATATAAACGTCCTTATGAGCTCAAAACCCTCCATCATCTCAGCCTCCATAGTTTTGAGCCATTTTCCCCAAACCCTAACCCCTTTCTTGAATGTGTGAGCTAAAAGTGTATGTTTTGAGTAGTTGGAGAAGAAGGTGTTGCATCAAGAAGTTGGAGAAGGAAGACAAGCTTGTAAATCTGAGGTCTCTTTGTGCTCGAGAAGCTCCAGGAGGTAAAAAGCTCCAACCTTTATGCTTGTATGATGTAGATCTTTCCATGCTAGCTTTATGAAACCATTTCTTGTCCCAAAAGTCCCAAGTTGGTGCATGTTAAGTTTTGAATTAAATAAGCTGTCCTTTCAGACCCTAGAAAGGGTCCTAAGTGATAAAAATGATGTCCTAATGGCTAAAAGTGTCCCATGCATGTAGTTGAAAGGTCTTAATGGGTTCATACCATGTATTAAGAACTTTCTGGACATGCAAAGTCTTAAATTTCAAGACTTTATGGTTCTAAGTGTGACATCCCAGAATTTAGGTCAAAGATTGTGAACGGTCAAGTTCACAGTAAGTCTGTTGATAAATTGACTCATTGAGTTTTAGTGCATCTAATATAAAATAAATGAGTTATTCTAACTATTATAAGATACCAGATGGTATCTTACTTCTAAATGTTTAATTTGGCAATGATATTGCCATATTTATACATATTTTTAGGCAATATTTAAGTACATTTTTATATATATTTTGGTCATTTGCATAGAATAATGGTACTTATAAGGTTAAATTATATTTTGCAGCCAAAAAGAAGACATTTTGAAGAAAAGGGACTAGAAGCGTTAAAGGATGGAACTTTGAAGGTTGAAGGCTTGAAAGACAAGAAAAACACCCAAAAAAGACGTATTCACGACGTGAACAGTTGATGGTTCACGACGTGAGTGGAAAGAGTTAGAAGATAAGCATCCGGGTGAAGGAATCCTTGACGATCACGATTACCTCGAGTTCACGACGTGAGTTTTACATTCTCACGACGTGAACGGTGATTTTGGAGAAAATATATATACTCTTCTCCATTACGATTGGGGGACTTTTTGGCTGGCTTAGAAGGGTTCCTAGAGACGAAATTCAGAGGAGAAGAAGCTCTGGGAGTTGGTTTTAACACCAAGGAAGAAGAAGTTCATAATTTGGTTTATAGATTGGTACACTTAAACATGTCCTTGATTATGGTTTTTGTTTATTTAGCTGTTAGTATGTCCAGCTAAATCTAGCTGCTTCTGTTAGCTAGATGAAGCTGGAACTCATGGTTTTAATGCGTTAGACTTGACTTTACTTGTTGGTGATACGCTTGTGTTGATTGATTTTACCTAGCATGCTTGAATTAATTATTTGATTGCTTTAAATTCTTGTTCTGTGTAGTTAGTTAACATAAATCTGTATGAATTTGAATACCTAATAATATAGTGAACACTAGGTATTAGAGCTAAGATCAAACCAATCTTAGATAAATAATTGAATCATTGAATTAAGCTGTGTTAGAGAACTCATATTATGACTGTAATTGTGTTTTGATTAATCAATCTTTCATGGCTCCAATCTTATTTAATAATTGATTCTGTGTTAACTATTGTATGACCATACATAGATTTACATGAATTGATTAATAATTAGTAGATTTAGAACTAAATTGCTAATACTTCTTAATTTGGTAACCAACAGTAATAGTCCTAGCTAATGTATAACTATTGAGTGAAAGCGGATTCGAACTAACAGAAGTGTTTTGTTTATTGATTGAGTTTTTGTTAAAGAATTAAGTTCATCTAAACTTGCAAAATTAGATAAAAACCCCTTTTTAGCTCGTTAGTAATTAGGTTAGTTTAGTAGTAAATAAATTAATTAGTCAACACCGTTCCCTGTGATCGACACCCGACTTACCAAACTATTCTATAATTCGACTAGGTACACTGCCTAGGTGCAATTTAGTTAGTTAGTTAGTTAGGTTATATATTATAAAATTAGTGGGTACTATCGTGCACATCAAGTTTTTGGCGCCGTTGCCGGGGAACGGCTTAGTTTATAACTTATTTATTTGCTTTTGATTAACCGGTACTTTTTGTGGGATAAAACCTGCAAAAAGTTAATTTTCCAGCAAGGTTTGAATTTTTTTCATCTGTTACAGGACTCACGACGTGAATCTTAAAGATTCACGACGTGAGAACTGTGATTTTTAGTTTTCTTTAGTTTTTAGTTTATTTTTCTATTTTAGTTCGTTTTTACGTTGTTATTTTGTTTAGTTTGCAGGAGTTCATGACCAGAGGCTCTAACACACCTTTGGTGCCACCACTTGAAGATCCGGAGTCAGCCCTTCACAAAAATAAGAATAAGAACGCGAAGGAAGATCACACGCCAAAGAAGACGCCACTACAAGAATTAAAATCAGCCTTTTCAAGGAAGTCGGGAAAGAAGACAGGAGAGTCAAGTTCAACCCCAAAGGATAAAGGCAAAGTTTAAGAACTTGATCCAGTTTCTAATCCACACGAATCAGAATACGAGTCAAACCCAGAATTTGAAATATTTGCGAGTGAGCCCGAAGACAAGCAAGATGATGAAATGGCAAACATTAAGGAGATGTCCATGGGAGCTTACAAGAAGCGGATCCGAGAGGATGTGGGTCCCGGTTTAATCCAACCCGCAATACCTGCCACTGCCACATTCGAGCTGAAGGGGCACATCTTGAATGCACTAAAGGATATCCCATTTTATGGGAAGGATCATGAGGATGCTTTCAAGCATCTCGATGAAGTCAATGACATTGCGGATTACTTCAATGTCCCAAATGTCAATAGAAACACCGTCTTGCTGAGGATGTTGCCCATTACTTTTAAGGGAGCTGCTAAAGAATGGTTAAAATAACTTCCACCGGGTACGATCACCCCTTGGGCTCAAATGTGTGAGCAGTTTCTTGACCAATTTTTCCCACCATCCAAGATAGCTAAACTCAAGAAGGCAATTGCCAACTTTGAACAACAACCGGGGGAGTCATTATACGAAGCATAGGAGCATTACAAAGGCTTGATCAGAAATTGCCCTCAACATGATCTTAATGTTCAACAAGAGATGTCAATCTTCTATCATGGGGTCAATGTTATGACAAGACAACTCCTTGATTCTCAAGGACCTTTAACAAAGAAAAATCCAAG